TTATTTAAAAGCCAACACCTGATGAACATTTTGCCAATTTTGGTGTTGGTACTTCAGCATTATGCTACAAGACAGCAGGGTAGATTTTTGGCACATTGCACTTTACCTGTAGTAACATTTGTGATCAGTCATGGTCCTGTTACATATCTATGCCAATTACTAAAATACTTGTTCCAATTACATTATCTAGAATTATGCTCCACTTCATCAAAATAGTATGTTCACATGTACTCAGTTTCACAAAAACTGTATTTATATTATTGAATTTTAACAAGAGTAGCTCTGGGTGATGAAGATTTCCAGTTAGGGACACTGATTTGAATCATTGCCTACGATGACAGCCAGACAGGCAGCTGCTTGTGGCAGCTGATACCAAAAGAACCACTTCTCTCTGAGTCTAATCTCTAGAGGTATAAATTTTGTATCTGTCGAGATTTGGATATGGTATTTGCCATCACATCTCTGCAATTTGCACCAGCCTAACCTACAGATTTTGGATACAGGACAAAGATAGAAAAAGGATGTGGGCATGATTTTTCACTCATCTTCTTGGGTGTCTGGGTAAATCTCAATTTTGATATCTGACAAAGAATCATGTCAAACCCATTCAAAATCTGGGTAGGTAGAGTGAAACGATCATTAATTTCTGTAGATAAAGTAAAATTTACCACATAAAACCACTGTCCAAGAGCCAGTCTTAAGCAATTCAGATACCTTCCTGAAGGTGACAGCTCATTTACAAATGGTTTACACTGATATTAAATAGAAAGTAGGAACACATTAGAACCACAGAAGTGGCTAAGCACTCTCCTTCTGTTAATATCGTAGAACCTTTACCATTTATTCCACTGAAGATTTCAAGCCAAAATTTCAAGACTGGAATCATCCAAGGCAAAATGGCCAGAGGACTATACATGTAGTATTATACATCTATGAGAGGTCTCAGAGTTTTCACTTTTATTTAGTCTTCATCTGAATTGGCTTTCACTGATGTCTCCATCTGTCTTCAAGGTGATGTAGATCTAATTCATATGCAGTAAGTGTCTAGTGCAATCATAACTATCATTTGACAGAAAACCACGTACAAAAATAAAGGACATTCCTAATACAAGTAAGTATATACATGCACAGTAGCCAAACTGCCTCTGTACAATACTTTGAACCATCAGCATCCTGAGTCTTTGTGGCACTTAAATCATGTGGAAAATGCAGAACACCATCTGAGAGACCACTATCCTGATCAGCTATTGAAAGTGATACATAAATTAACAGGATAATCTAACAGTTTGGAAGGTGTCTTCCAAAGTAGCAGTAAAAATGACAAATATTTACACTTCTGTCTGAGTGAGGCTATTTAAAATAGAGCAGCTTAATTAAGAATATGAAATTAATTGCTTCTGACCATGCAAATTAGAATTCTGAGCTAATTCTGGATGTTCTTTCATTCCAGTGCTTCAGAGTTGAGGGAGTGAAGTTGAAGGAAGGAAATGGCACTCCTGGAGTACTTGATTAAGTTTCAACATTCCAGGACTTTCTTCTCCCTGGAACATTTTACACGAGAGTCAATATTCCACAATTACTCAGTGACACAAATATTCAAGAGCAGGAAAATATTTTTCTGTAGCTTGCACTTATAAAAGGCACTGATCCATTTCAATCAGAGTAGACTTAGCAGGGAAGAGGCTAACCATTGGCTTCTTCTACTTTAATTTCATATAGCATAAATGCTTAATTCCATTACTGAAGCAGCAAATGCAGCCTATTCCTTTAAATGTATTTATGGCATAATGGCATAATAAACCATCTCCATGTCAAAAAAAATCAAGGATTTACCATTTGAAAAGATTCTTGGTTTAGCCCTCCAAAAATAATAGATTATTTGTAACAGTCTACGTGAAAAAATAACAAGGAGTCATAATTCCCTCTCACTATGCACCCTTTCATTATGAATAAAAACTTAAAAATGTAAGTGCAGCAGAGAAGCTCAAGTGTTTCTGACATCACAGGACCCCACTCCCTTCCCATCTGAAGCCATCCTAGAGCAGATCCTATGAACCAATAGGTTGCTCTCTATTTTTACAAAAGCCCTTCATTCATCTTCTTCTTTCAATTAAGTCCTGGCTCACAACTGTGTTTCCTCCTGTTCCAAGGAATGTGGAGGGACATGGCAAGATGCTGGAAGAGATGCCAGCTTCTGAAGCTTAGGATGATGCAGAGGTTTTGGCCTGTGGAAAGAACGTCGGCTTTGTACACGTCTGGCTGCAGCAGACCTGTAATTCCCTTCTATATCAAGCAACATTTTCTTCTCTTGGGGCTCCTTCATGTAAGAGTCTTCCAGCCCTTCAAACATAAGCAGAGTATTCTCATCTTGTGAATTCTCTGACTTGAAGCTAACTTCAGAACAATAACCTGAGTTGACTGTCTCTTTGTTATTCATATCTGTACCCGATTCCCAGAAGAGATCAGGCACATTTGGGTCACATGAAGCAATGTACTCAGAGACAGCAGAAAGGGATATATTCCCTCTGTTTTCCAATGAAGAATAGTTTTGTGTCCAAGGCATTTGAAGACAAGAGGGGAAGAAGTGGAGGGGATTCACTGAAACACTTCCATTTTGGTTTAGTTGATCATCTGAAGAGGAGTATTCTGTCATTTCAACATCTTGGTCCATATCACCTAGAGAGCATAATTAAATAGAAACATTTGTTTTCTATTTGTACACAGTTTATCTGTTATTATGCTGGCTATTGGGCTCTGCTTTTGGCTATTTTTATGGAAGTCTTATGAAAGTGAGTGGTTAAAGTTTTGGGTTTTTTTCCTGAAGAACTCTACTCTGTATCCAATTCTATCCTGGACAACCTGAAACTTCTTATCCTTGCTAAATGTCAGGCAAAACTTAGTTCAGTGTTTAGAAGAACAACTGCCTGTTTCAGATAGTTAGGAGATGGAGCCATCGTCTGGTCACTAAGGTGTATGTTGAAACAGTCCTGATTCTCAGCAAAGAAATATTTCAGAAATTTTTGAAACAAATTGTACTGTTTCAATCAAGTAGCAGAGGGTTTCATTCCAGGAAATCAATCTCTTATTGATCAGAATCTATGATTAGTTTTCTGTATATATTAGCTATGTAGAGAAACTTAACATTTCCACTCTTGGCTTCCAGTTTTCCATTGTTTTTTAAAACCTTTTAATTGAAATGTTAGTATAATTCTCCTGTTGGGAGAATTTTGTTAAGGAGATCATTCAGAGGACTGTTTCAGACAGTAATCAAGGTGTATGCTTATTAGCTTGGGAAATCTAACTTTGCAAAACACTTATTAAGAAACACAGTAGTCAAAAATCCAGTGATTTTGACACATCAAAGACACCCACAAATGAACTTACACATACCACTTCCTAACAATAAAGTGAATTATAAATAAAGCAATTCGATGGAGGAAAAGGACAAAGGCTTGCAAGAAAATGTTCTGCAGGTCATATGTCAATATTCTGTGACAATGTTCTCAGTGGTGAAGAAAAAGTGAAGAGAATTTTAATGTGGGTAAGTGTCAAGGTGAAATTTTCCTTTTGGAATGCTGCTCATTGCTCACACTTTCAATCAGGATATTGGACTGGAATTCACAGTCCTTTAACTAATCCAGTGTTTATTTTAAAACATCATTTAAAAAATAAACAAAGATGCATTATTAAGAAACTCAGTACTGAAACCAAACACAGACCTACAGGCCACTCCAGTAAAGAAAGTGATGTGCTTCCTCAAATTACCCTTGAACTAACTTATCTTCTGAAGGGACAGAAGCCAGAACAGAAGAAAAATGGAACTACCTTTTCTACTCCTTCTTAAGAGGTGTGAAATTTTTCTTATGTCAAAATTAGCAGTATTCACTCTTGGCCTGAGGTGTTTGTCTGAACAAAGTTTCATGAAACAGCTAGAGAAGACTTTCAACTTACTTTTTTTGTTGATGACAGAGGTCATTAAGACATATATTTGTGACCATAGATTCCACAAAAGTGTATTCATGATGACACTGACTTTTGTGTTTCATTGCACAATCCCTGAAGTGCCCTGTGTTCTATTCAATTACATCTGAACTGTGGACCTGACCCACCTCGTTTGAAGCACTACCTGACTTGATTATAAAAATTAAAACTGATTTTATGGTGTGGAAAATTTCCACACAGCAGAAGTTAAAGGGCAACTGGGATATTAATTTAAACCCAGAGTCAATTTAATTTTAAGCCTCTAACACATTAGAAGCAACAAGTTATTTGCTGCATCAGAAAGCTAAGCCTTTCTCTACTTTCAAAATAAGGTATGGATTAAGGTAAATTCACAGTTTAAGAATAAATCTCTAAATGGAATTCTGCTTCCGCACAATTCTGTTGTGAAATTATCCCCACAAGGAGAATCTGATGCATTTTAGCAAATACAATTCATTTTAAACTCCTTTCTTATGTAATCTAATGGTACATCAGTAGTGTCACTGAATAGTTGCATTGTAGCAGTGGGGCATTTTTCTTCCTGGACACTGGATAAATAATCTGGAAAAATGTTCACAGCTAAATCAACGCTTCTTAGCAACAGAGTCAAAAAATTTTATTCATTTTTAGGGAATTCTGTTACCAATTTTATCATCTAGTACTAACTAACCAGGAAACCTGAAGCCTCTTGAAAATGTATGCCCAATATTCTGTACTTGGAATACTGTTTTCTTGGCATTTAAAATATTTAAGTGAAAACAAAGAGAAGGACCCTTATCTGCTGTAAAAGTAGCAAGGCATTGGACCCCAAATAGTTGAACAGCTCTTCTGCAGAAGGAAAATGGAAAAGTGTTTTGTTAATTAAGTCAGAGGTAAATAAAAGAGGTTTAGCTGCGCAAAGAAATCAGGAAAGAAAGACATTTTCTGAAAGAAGAAAAAACAGAAGAGTAAGTTTACTTCTCAGGATTGATAAGAAGTCTGGTTAAAAAATAAAGGTGACAATAATATCTTTTAAAATATTACATATGTGTTGATTCTGGGAGAAAAGATCTGGGTCGGTCCTCTGGGCCATCTGCTAGCAGGAAGGAATCTGTTGATTTATTGCTGAGCCGGATTGGAGTGAGCCGTCTGAAGTTGTCTGGAGAATATGGGAGCTGCACTCGGGCCCTTTGTGAGGGTACCACAGTGTCTTCACCAGATAACCATGGTGTGAACTTCATGTAGATGCTTTGGTCATCATCAGCTGAAAATACTGGGTTATCAATTCCTAAAAAAAAAATTAACGAGTGACAAATAAAAGTAATCAAAATAATTTCTTGATAATACAGCAAGATGCTTTATAAAAGGAGAGAGGCTGTTGGAAAAAATGGGTTGATACACTGGTATTTGTGTGACTAAGTCAATACACAGACTATTGTACACACATACACCTTGGTTATAGCTAGACATATACTGGATTTCAATAAAGAGCAAAATTGGTTGTCATATCAAATTTGCAATTATGTTAGGGATATCTTGAGAGAAAAAATAAAATCAATAAAAGAAGCAATCAGTCCACAAGTGTTAAGCAAGAGAAAAAAAAAAAAAAAAAACACGGCATAAAATAACTGCAGAAAATTCAAATCAAATACTTTAAAAAATGTGAAAAAACCCCAACTTCACCACTCCAGAAACAGATGAGTGTGAGGTAGCTATGGCAGGCCACGAAACAGTCAAAGGTGACATACAGAAGCCTGTTCATACAGTTACCAAGTTTGACAAGCTTTTACATAAACATTTTGCATCTTACCATCCACTTCTTTCTAGGTGTCTTTATACATACTCAAACATAGAATTTGTCATGAAACAGTGTCATACAGAAACTGCATTTAAGGGTTTCTGCCACAAGAGTATGGACACAAGGGTTTTTCTTCACTGTAGGTACCAATTACACATGAAGCAAACAGTGGCATGCTGAAAAAAACTTAAACACAGAAGTGCTAAAGAGAAATACTAAATTTTATAACTCCATAAGTCATATGATATGGTTTCTGTTATATATAGTTATAAGCTTCCAATCTAATATTTTGGAGTCTTTTATGGCTGGAAATCAAGGGCATTGAGTGCTCCAGAAATGCTGCAATCTGCCCTTTTCAGTGACTTCTATAAGCCTGTAAGGATCTGACGGGATTGTAAACATAAAAGTAGAAATCATGCCTGAAATAAGAACAAAATGTATCACAACGAAGTTCCAATGCAAGTGAAAAACAATTCCAGAGGACTAGTATTGACTGGTCTTGTGAGGTAAGAATTCTACAATAACATTTTCTGCTGCTAGAAATAATTAGTGGCTTTTAAACTGGTTTAAGTAGTCATGTTCACCACTGCTGTCAGTTTCAAATGTGATGCTCTCCATACCTCCAGATATCCAAAAATCTGTATATTAACATTAATATTAAGCAAATGTATTTTCAGATTGAACACATAAAATCACTCCATAAAAAAAAAAACAAAAACACCCAAAAAAATCCAACCAAACAAAAAACCCCAGGCTAACTCATCAGCATTTCTAGTACATTTTGTTATATTTGAGGGGAAAAAAAAAACCTTTGTAAGTAATAAATATTTTTACCAGCAGGAGCATCTGTGAAATTTTGTTTTGTCACATTAGCCAGGAAATCAACTCCTTTGCCTAGATGCAAAGTCTCATAATCATTATTTTCTTCTGATTCAGAAAACTCCATATCTAGGGGGAAAGAAAAAAAAATGCAATTTCATTAGAAATTTTTATCAGTTCTGATAGAAAATGCTATTTCTTGCTGGTTTGATGCTGTCATGGTTATCAAAAATACATCTTTAACAAGGATTTTCATCACTTGACACAGGTCAGGATTACTATAATGACTAGTTTCAAACCTAATGAGGTCATTGCTGCTTTTACTGCAGTAGAATAAGCTTTGCAATAGCTGCTAATCCACTTGCTAAGTCTGTCTTCCAATTAAACTTTTTTGGTGTTAAGTAGATGATGACATCTCTACGCAGAGTTCTTTAATAAGACAATATTGAATGACCTACTAATGAGTATTCAGAAGGCTCTTCCCAAGCAAAGTAGTTCTAGAATATTACACCTGGGGAGCCAACCTGTACTGCTTCTCTCAGTCAAACAAAAATAACACTCAGTAAATTATTCAAAAAAGGTACATAAGGAAAAATATATTTGCTTGGAGCTACTGAGAAAAGATTAAATTCCTCTCTATTTTACTTGAGTTGTCTTTGAGATCCAGGAGTTACAGGCATAAGAGAGGGAAGAACACAAATCAAACTTAGTTCAGCAGCTTTTAACCACATTTCAGTTTTGAAGTGACACGTATAATTTAAAATTGTATAACAAACATGTTAACACCCATCGCATCTTGCAATGCCTGACACCAGTGCCAAAAAAATGTGTAAAACAGGAAAGAATTTTGGGCTTTATATGCAAAATCAGCATTTGCTAGGGATAGTCCCCAGGCTGGTCAGCTTCCAATTACACTTCCAAGCCTGATCCATGTGACAGATCTGTTCATGGAGGGTGAAGCAGTTCTAGAACTGACCTCTGACTATGTGTTCCTTCCAAAGCTACGCTTTCCTTGAGTTATATGGTGCTTGCTTAGCCTCAACTCTGATTCAGACCCTTCTAAAACAGTGGACTTTAACTCAGATAAGAATGCAATCTCAGCTACTGAATTTTATATGGTTGATGTCTTAGGTAGACATATCCTGCTGTGATGAAAAAAATTAGCAGCTCTGTGTACCTTATCCAAATAGAAGCTGAAATTTCATTTCTATTGTAGCCACTGCATTGTTTTGTTTACAGAATATAAATGTGATACTTTTAAAATGTGAGCAAAAAGGCCAACTAAAATTTTGTTTGTCATCCAGATTCCTAAAAAACCAACTTCTAAACACTACATTTAAGCATGAAGCAGATCACTATTCCAAGTTCTGAACTATGACTAGAAGTCCCTTTTTACTGTCAAATTTGCTATGGCATATCACAATATCTTGTAGTGATGCATTACTGGCAATGTAGCTGGTAAAACTCAGTTAATGAAAACAGTCTAAGAGTCTTTTTACCTTTTTCCTTCAAAGCAAAGTCTTGAACTGGATTTTCTGAAGGAATGTTTCCATTTGGTATGACACTGCTATTTCTCTGAAAAGAAAGCAAAAAGTGACCAAAAATGCTAATTTCATCGGATAGCAATGGCAGTGATACCCTTGGAAATGACGAGCTCAGCAGAATAAGCCTAAAATCCATTGTAATCTTTGTTTGAGACTCAATATGGATACCACTAATTTCCCACCTACACCTGAAGTGTGTAGAGACGGGGTAAAAAAAGAAACTTTGGCTCTTTTTATACTGTGTGTTCTCTCTTAGTTTCACGCAAATTTAGTTGAATGCTCCATGCTATCCTGCTACCTCTATCCTGCAAAATCTCCCCACAGTGTAGTAGCATGGTTCAGGGTCTGCTGTTTTTCAAGTGACCAGAAATCTCTCACCCAGAAGAACAGTCCCAAAGCATAGAGAAGTGCAGAATGTGAGAAGAAGCCCCTTGATTATCTCCTAGTTTTATCTCTTCTTGCTTAGGTCCTCTAAATTCATGAAGTTCTATAGGACAGTGATAAGTGCAGGACATAGGACCCTTCAGAGTCCTCCCTACCCTTCCCACCCATTAGTTTGTATAATAGGTGGCTACATCTGGGTCCTTGTGAAAGTATTTTTACCCTTTTTTGGCCCCGGTCTCGTTTGTGGATTTTATTGAGCTTCTTGGGATGGTTTATTCCTAGTTTGGTACTCTTGAAAGATTCTAAGCGCTTCCTCATTGTCCTATGGAAAATCTCCTTGTCTTGTTTGTCATCTTCACTGTGCATGATCTCATGACGACTGTACAGGTGTTTGTGCTGTGGCCAGGAAGGGAAGACAATATTCATTTACTTAGAAATACAGGTGAAAGCCCTGAATCAATGAATTCAGTCAGTGTCACGAAAATGTAAACAACTCCGTAAGAAAGAGTGAACTAAAGATTAGCCTGAAGGCATTAATAAAACTCCCATTTTTCTTTTTTCTTCATGAAACCAGTCCAGGATTTTTAAGTGTGTAAGAGTGAACTGTCATTCAAACTAAGCTTCTCCCCTGTAAGTGTCCAAATCCCTTCAGTTGATACACTTAATTTAATCCTGATCAGAACCTTTCCTGGACACAGTTCTGCATTCCACTGGCCCCAGTGATTTTCAAGGCACTAGTTCTTTTAAAAAGCCATGTTCTTAAATGAGAAATCACACAAAGAGCCTATCTTCCTCAAGGGCGCAGATTTTGCAGTGAGTTCTCTCCTTTTGAGTTTCACTCGCAAATTTTGGTTCCTATTTCCTCTTAGTTTTAGATTGGAAAACAGTCCAATGCTAGCCTCTTGCTCTCACCTCCTGCCTGGGTTTATACAGGTACTGCTGCAGGGTGTGATGAGCGAGGGTGTCTTCTGTGTCCCGGATGCTTTTCCTTCTCTGCTCTAAAGCTTGCATGTCAAGGCAAACCGGTCCAGCTTTTTCTCTCCTGAAGAAAAACACAAGCAGTGGTTTTTAAAATCAGTGATTGCTGAAAAGGAAGAAAAACCAGGAATGAAACTGAGAAAACAAGAGGAAGTTAAAAAAAAAAAACCAAAAAAAAGGAAGAGTAAGAACTGGCTAAATGACAATGACTGAGTAAATGCCTAATGGGAAATGTGGAAAGATCATTGGTTTTTGTCTTTCAGGGGGATGTAGCATTAATTTATTTCACAGTTTACATTACACATGGACTGTTCAGTAACAGATTCATCAAAAAGTTAAGGAAGGGGCAATTTTTTTCCTTCCCTCTCTCCTTACTTTTTCTGGAGCAAACACAGAAATAACATCTAGCCCTGTATATAACAGTTCGTGAACCAAAGACAAATGAGACAACTCTAATGTGGATGTCTGCTTCATCTTACCAGCCTTTACTGAAAAAAACTGTGTGTAAAATATGACATTACAAATCCATATATACACATTTTCTGTGGGAGAAAATATTAATTAAAGATCTAAAAAGTAGTGACTGAAGCCCCTGTAATTTGCATTTTTCAATTTTTTTAGCAGTGTTTCAATTTCCTCTCATGCACCACCCCATCAGTCCACATTACTTACAATAAATAAGAGACAGAGCTTTCCACAGTGCTTGGGAGTGGAGTGCTGAAATCCACATTTACCATGTTATCTGTACTCGGAGAACGTATAAATGCCAGCGAACCTCTACGTTCTCCCTGGTCACGGAAAGAAACAAGACATATTACAGCTGTAAAAACCTAGGACAAAATGCATATCAGAATATAGATAATTTGTGAGACTGTATTTATGCAAATGGCAGAAGAAGCAGGGGAGGAGTTGTATCTAGATAATAAATAAAAGCCATTTTTAAGTTTTATGGTTTCTTTACGTTGAGTGACATTATCCCAACAAACAAAGCAAAGAGAAAATCTACTCCACTCTTAGAAATGGATTTTGAAGAGGTGAATGATTTCCTGTGCCTCAATAGGTTTGCAATTTTACTTTGTACAATGCTGGAAGCCAAGAGCATAGGAACATACATAAGGATGTTTATGTTTCAATACATCAACACATTATCAGCATCATTTTCAAAGACACAACATTAAGTTTTCTGTTCTCTACCAGACTGGAAGCAGCAAATATCAAGTGGTAAAAGAAGTTTACAAGACTATTAAAAAGAGGTTACGGCATGACAAGATGAGATATTGAAGAGATGAGATTTTCTTTCAGTTTTAAAATTGGTGTCACAGAAATGAACTGCTGGAAAAGCTCAGTTTTATATCTTCATACTTTTCCCTACACCTTAAGTAATCTCTTGCTTAGCTAAAAGCTACCTGTTGGGTGACATTGTGGTTACAAAGGCTGAAAACATCTATGGTTTTGAATCAAAGTGGAGTGAAATCACATAGCAGATCTCTAGATTTTAAGCAGTAATAATCAAGAAAAATCACCTCCCTTGCAGAACAGAGATTTTATCTACATTTCTCCAACTTTAACTGCACTGTGTTCCATTTACATTTTCATACTCATGGAGCAAACCAAAAAAATTATTTCTTTTGTTGTGGTAACCCACATACGTATCACAGTATGTGGGTTACCAATGGCATTAAGAAATACACTGTGGCCTCTGCAGGCAGAAAACGTGAGGTTAATAAAATTGAATTCTAGGAGAACATCATCCCATCCATTTTCTTAAGTGAATCTGACTTTATTTTCAAATAAGATTTAATGTTTCATACGTACATCATACCATATCATCAGTGAAGGTATTTTAGCCAGAACAAGTTATGAACCATGAGTATTTTGAGTCACTTCCCTTAAGCTCCTCTGGGTTATTTTCATTTTTCTTGGCTTAGGTTCTCCCCTCTCAACTGTAAGGAATTTTCCTAGACAGAGACTGAACTCTCTCAGTTCTTATTTATTATATAGATGCACCACAGCAGCAGAGTTGAACAAAGAAAAATATATAAAATAATTTTTAAACTCCTCTGTTTCTTGCAAGTAAGAAGAGAGTGAGTAGCTGGGGAAGGCAGGTCTTTACTTGTCCTGGAAAAATAGCTTTAATTTCAATGTCAGCTTGTAATTCATAGATATTTAGTTCAAAGATATATTTGCAAAGTGAAGTTTTCTTTTAATACATTCTTTTGATACATTGCTTTAACAACTTTTTAGTTGTTAAAGCAATGTATCATTGAAGAAAATATTAAAGTGAGAATTTAGGATTTACAACTCATAATTAATTTCTGCTGGAAGAAAATATGTTGCAAAACTTCTGTAGAACTTGGACAACTTTCAATTTCTTTTTCTATTATTATCAGATCAGTAGACATTTGCCCAACAGAATTTATCTGCAAGAAACAATATACACAAATAGGATTTGGACTAAGGTAACAAAAAGCCGTTCCCTTGTGTTTCATCTCCTAAAAAATTATTAATGTAACTTTTAGAAATCCATCTTTACTATATGGGATCAAAGACATTATTGGATAAAAATTCTAACTCTAAATCTGCATGTATTAGTGATCTGTAAAGCCCTTTGCATCTCTTAAAGAAAGAGAAGAAACCCTGTAATGAATCTACTGAACAGATTCAGCAATGCATCTGAACATGAGTTTCATGGTCATCCACCTCAAAGTCATTATCCAACTTTCTTCCTCTGAGGTGTGACCCAGAAAGAATCACAAGAAAGAAAATTAGTTTTTGAGCTCAGCTGGTCTAAAAACTAAATGGATAATTTACAAAATCTCAAAAGGAAGAATTTGCTTGTCTTGTTGAACTATTCTCCATCTTCCATACTAACATAATTTCTGAATTTTATCTTGTTTTCTGAATTCAATCTCCAAAATTATGTTTCATTTGAAGGAGACTGCCTGGCTGTAGCTCATTAAAAAAAAAAAATAACTTAGCAGCAGTAGTAGTATCAATGATAGTAATTGTTTCTATTTAAATTAAAGAAATTAACTGATATATCACCTAACTGTGAAAATTAATTCAATTGGAGATTATGGGCATGGATAGATTATAATTTCAAAAACCACTTTTTAAAATATTCAATTTAAAACTATCCTTTACACTGTATCAATACTGCACATTCATTGCTGTTTGAGCTGAGGTGACTAGTTTCATACTGAAGAAGATTAGGAACGCTTACATAATCGAGCAACATTGCTGCACTACTCCTGCAGAAGGTCAGAAACTTTCTTCAAATCTCCTTTAAAGACTTCTCCTGTTGCAAGTCCTAAGTGTCCCTAACTTCACAATTCTTTGATTGCAATTGATATTTGTAGTATATTTTACCCTAATTACTGAATCATGGGGGTTATGATTCCATGGAATTAAAGTAACATTTTACACTTTTTTTTTTTTTTCTTTTGTGCATGTTACAGTGATCTGGCAGATTGAGATTAGCAGTCCCACATTTTGGCCACATATGCATATCATTTGGAAGTGAGCTTCTTCAAATCAGATTTGTCATCACATAGACCCACTATCCTGCAGGATGTTGACACATTTAGAAAGACAACACCTCTCCAGAATTACAGTATTTTTTTCATGTAATGAATATAGAAACAAAGATGTTCAGTAAAATGCAACAGAAACGTACACTGAAGTAAGTACAATATACTAGCATTTGGCAATCAGGCACAATATTGAGAACTACAGCTTCTCAAACCAGCAATTCTGACACTCAAAACACATTTAAAAATAAACAAAAGCAGAGCTGAGATGGAAATAGTTTTCCTTTAAGCATCTCCTGCAATAGATCAACTTTAGGTTATAGTACAAATTTTTAAAAAAACAAATTCCAAATGATGCTATAATATGTCAACAAGTGTTCATAAGTACCTCAGCCACATAGCTAATTGCATCCTTCAAGTTGAGCTCATGGAAAACATTAAGGATTTGGTCCCTTGATTTTTGAGCAGACCTTCTCATCAGTATTTTTCTGAGGTATTTCCTATCAAAATTGGACCACCTGATAATTTAAACAAACTGTGTTAATGGCAACAAGCAATTTTAGTTTCAAAGCATTTTTAATTTAGTATAAATTATATTTTTTTAGCTAAATACTTTGAAAAAAAGAGTGAACAGTGGAATGTGAGGGATTTGTGTCTTGAAGCTTTTAAATTAGCATGCAAAGAAAGTCAAGGAAAAGCCTGCTACAGACTTATGCAGCTGTCACAAAACATTTAATCAGTTCACTTACCCAACACTACTACAAGAATGCTATGATTACAGTATCCCATTTCGGAGTCAGTAACACATTTTATACTTTGGGATATTATACTACCTTATTTTTCCACTTTTGATTATGTTTAATTTTCTTCCCTTGTTGAGCCCCCAGGTGTATTGTAGGACAGCCAGACCAGAAAATCAGTTCAGAATGACAGTGCCCTTCCAGAAGCTCTACCAGAGGGCCTTATTCATGCCACTGATGTGCTCTGCTCTGGGGATAGTAGCCATGTGTATTTTCAATTATTTACAATTCCAAGATTGTCTGATAGAATATCTGCCCTGTCATGTTTAGGCTCCAAAGATTAAAGGCTGTTTTACTTTCTTCTAACTTCCTCAACACTTCACCTGAAGAGCACGAGGCAGCTTTGGAGACTACTGCTCAGAATTACTCTATCCATCTCACCCAATGGCCATTTTGACTTTACAGCTTTTGATTCAGACTGCTTAAACCTTTTGTGTTAAATATTATTCACATAATTGATAGCTATTCCTCTTCTCTGGCCAGAACATCTGACCAGAAGGCTCTAATTCAGGTTGCCACACCTGAACCCATCAGTGACGATGCTGGGGGATGCTATTTCTTCATGGAAGCAGCACTTTCATGTACATAAAGTCCAAAAGGCAGGCTTAAGATGGTCTCATTCAAAATACATTTGTCATCAAACCACATACTCAACCATGAATCTACATTAAGCTATTTCTTCTGTTCTTACTCAAGGGGATTACATTGACATGCAAGAGGTCACATGCCAATCTACCACTTTAAAAATATAGCTGTATCTTTGAGGCAATATATCAAAACTGGAGACGTATTTGCCTATATTATATATAGCCCGCTGAAATTTATTTCCGAAAAGTAAACTACAAACTTAGACCAAAATAAAGAAGATGTTCTGTCTGTAGTGCCTTAGGAAAATTTTTTATTGCATAAATAAATGAAGAGCAAAAGGAAAGTAAGGAGATTGTCTCTATAACTGGACGTAGGTGAGCAATTCTGCTTGAGCTCCAGTACAAGCTATCTTCAGCCTAAGAATTGTATTGTTTTGCATGATAATGTTAAACCTAAGCTAACAGACTCAGCTTCTCAGCAAGCATTAGAGGTGTGCTCTGCAGAAAGCTAACACAACCACATAGCTTTTGGATTGGAATTGGCATGTTGAGTCAGCAAGAGGTTAGCAGGTCAAAACTGTGACTGTTTGCACCTATGAAATGACCTGACTCCAGGGAGAGAATGGCCTAACTTGAAATAACACTCTTAAGGATGTCCTTTCTTCCACATTTATTCATCTAGTTATGGAAATGTGTCCATCACAAGGGTAAATCTTCACATGTACTTTAAAGGAAATGGTGTATCTTTCAGCTGAGTAATTCTGCTTCTCTCTAGATGAATCAACTATAAACAGAGGAGATGGTTCACTATTGGTTTCAGACTAATACGCTGAAACTGTGAGAGCAATTTCAGAGCGCCCTCTGCCATAACTTTCACAGGTGTTGAACACTTCCTTGTAGAGACAGGATAAACAGCTAGCATAGTTGTAGCTGAGGTTTTTTAGTGCCTCCACACATAAATAGTGTCCATGAAATGTAGTAGTACAAAGGAAAACCAACATTAACATCTAGGCGAAAACTTCTGCAAATAGTCAGTTCTCTAATCTTGAGAGAATGACCCCTGTATGTGAACTGAGGCACCTGCAAAGGCATAACCTGAACTGTGGAAGAGAAAGGAAAAATTCTAGTTGTAAGGGGACAAAAATACACTGTTTTGACATTTGCTGTATTTCCAGTAAGTTCAGTATGCAACCTCTTTTAACTACATTTAGCATTCTTGCTTTCCCTAAGCTCACAGGCTTAAAAAGTTATAATGTAGAGATAATATTTCCTAGCAGTATTTCAAGATTCTAAATTGCTTACTACTTACTTGTCTCTCAGATAATGATGCCCTATTTGTCCAGAAATGTCTTCTATAGCAGAAAGAATGTGATCAAAGGCCTAGGAAAGTGAGAGTGGAATTAATAACTTTGCAGAAATAAAAAAGCATAATTAGAAAATAGCTCAAGTTATTTCATGTTGTACCAGGTGACTATGCAGAATAATTTTATGGCAGTTATAATTTTTTCCCCATTTACAGAAGTACTAACTACTATAAGCTTTTCTTCAAAGGTCCTGAACTTTCTAACCAGTTCTTCATAAATTCACTAAATATTCTTGAATTACAAGGGTCTCAATGAGAAGGTACTTAAACCCCCATTTTAACATTCAATTTTAGAACTATTATGGACTCATTTTATCATCTCCATTTCTGCCCTATTAAGTGCATCTGCCACTATTAGTGTAGGTGATTATTTCAGTTGAGCAGTTTCCACAGTGATTCTTTTTAGATGTTTCAGGAGTTCATACTCCCCTCAGAGTAGAAGTAGGCACCATTCTTTTAATATCTAGGGCAAAATTTCATACTGAGTGTATTAGCTGGCTGATAGAAATCTGGAGGCTTATAACTCTTGATTCAAACCAAGTCAGTTGCAGGTACAATTTGGCCTTTTTCTGTGTATAGTTTTTAACATTTCACTCTGAACATTAGAATGATTACTGCGGAATATACATGTGTTGGTTTGGATTAGCAGGGCTGACATTTGGCACTGGTGAGGCTGTATCTCTAGTCCTGTGTCCAGTTCTGGGCCCCTCAGGAAGGACATTGAGGTACTGAAGCCTGTCCAGAGAAGGGCAACAAAGCTGGGGAAAGGTCTGGAACACAAGTCCTGTGGGAAGCAGCTGGGGGAGCTGAGGTTTTTAAGCCTGGAGAAAAGGAAGCTCATTCTCTATAACTACCTGGAAGGATGTTAGGCAGGTGGGTGTTGGCCTCTTCTGCCATGTCTCAAGTGAAAGGGCAAGAGGAAATGGTCCTCAGTTGTGCCAAGGGAAGTTCAGATTAGATTTCAGACAAAAAAGTTTTCCCTGAAACAATGGCAACCACTGGAATAAGTTGTCCAGGGACATGGTGGAGTCACTGTCTCCGGCAGTGTTCAAGAGCTGCCTGGGTGTGGTACTGGGGGATATGGTTTAGGGGTGACTATGGTGGTGATATGTTGATGGTGGGACAGGATGTTCTTGAAGATCTCTTCCAACCTTGATGATTCTGTGATGTCTTATAGTCTTCTATCCTTTAACCTATATTTATATTGAAAAGTTATGTTTTCTTTTACTTAATGAAAACTTTATAATGTGGTGTGAAAGTCAATTGGAATAATTTGTGTTTCAAAATATTCTAAAAGGGTAAAGAAATCCTGGGACACAACCTTCACACTGAATTAATATTGTCATTAGTCTGGAATTTCAGTATATAATTATTCTGTACTGGGCAGCTGAGTATTTTTCTATGTATATATATGTATATATATATTTTTCTATGTAATGTTGAAGCTACAAAGCCTGCTTTTATACCTTTCCCAAAAATTAAGTTTTTGAGAAGGAAAAATAAAAATTTTTCCCTAGCCCTAGCAATTATCAATCATTCTCCTCTTTTAGATGAAGACAAAGAAGCATATTCCATCTGTGCTGTTTCCCCAGTACTCCCAGCCCCATTGAATTCTCAAGTGAAAGACCAGAACTTCCATATGAATATCCTCTCACAGGTCTCCAACCAAAGAGAAACAGCAATGTACAAATAACTTTTGAAATGTTTGAAGGATTTTGCTCTTGAAATTTGATAGTCCACTCCCTTACAAAAAAACACATTTTCACTAACAATTTTGTTTTGTGTTAAGGTGCACTGTAAAAATGCAAAAGATACCATGAGGTATTTTTAAAATATCTTACTCTGCCATGAAGTTTCTCATTCAGTTTTGGGTCTCTGTGTTCAGTTTTCTTTACTTTCAGCCACTGTACCAAAGGTTTGATAGTCAGTCCCTAAGGATTGAAACATGACAATAAATACTTGGAAGTCCTCTTAGACTTTCCTCCAGCAGGTTAAACAGAAATAAAGCACATTTGTGTTTTATTTGGTGGTTCTCATACTTTCTCAGTTGATTTCTATTCCTTCTAGAAAATAAAACAATACTGTACCCTCAGCTCCTATTACAAAGGTTTGAAAAGACAACAGTGCAAAAATGTATCATCTATAGGAAAAATATGGTCATGGAAGAGTAGAAGTGTTTCCTATGCTACTGGATGTGGTATTTTCTCCACAAATAAGGAGTCTGTGAACACAATTGAACTTTCTGTAATACACTTCAGAAAATATTGCAAGCTGCTATCTAATTACATATTTTCATTTATATTACTTTTTTTTTTCATCCAGAAAGTGCTATTTTGTTTGGATGTTAAATACTTTCTTGTCCCACTGCTTGCTGCTATATTTTAAAACAAGGACTGAGGCTCAGGTAGATCAGCTTAATGACTGTATCTGCCCATTAAAAGCACTGTTCCCTACAGTTATTCACATGAGGTGAAGGATGTTTAATCAGATATTAACTTGGCACTATTAATACCAAGCAGCTAAGACTGAACAATTTTTAGCACAGAGGAAATTGTGTTTTGCCCCATGTGGTCCCACATGAAAACATAAAATAGGATCTTTGTTACTAAAATTACAAATTCAATTATGTTTTCAGTTCAGTGAAACAATATGCAACCTTCAGCTGAGAACTGCTTTAAGCATTCAGTACATTTGGGGGACTCCTTCTCCTTGCAAGAAGCATGCTTGAGAAGTTAAATTACCTGGAATATAACAGTAAAAAACACAACAATGATAGTTGTGCTAACAAACAGGTTTCTGTCTTTCACTTTATCCCCATCCAGAAGTGCAACAAGAGCAAAAGCAACTGCTCCTCGTAGTCCACCATAGGACATCACCACCTGGTCTATTATCTCCAGCTGGACAGTTCTGTAGCGGTTAAGAATCCACGTCTGTATAATGACACCTGTAACAAACAAATGTCAGCATGTCTAGAAATATCCTTATGGAACATCAGTATCCCAGCTGTGAGTAATGGAATGTCCAGGTGCCACCAGATTGCCTTTATAGCAATCTTCACCATCTACTTCTCCCTCCTATCACTGTGTTGCCCACTTGGTGCCTTCTCATTACATCAAACCAAAGGAATTAGGTGAAGCTGCTTCTGTGAGCCAGCAGCTCTTCTGAGAGTGCTGCCCTCTGGCACAGGCACTCCAGGGAAGGTGCTGCCATATGCTGACCGTGGAAATTCTTTAAGAAAGAATAGGTTTTCTAGCACTGTAACCCGTGATATGCACAGGTCAGTTAACAGAAACAGGTTAAAACAGCACTGATTTAGGGAGTAAGTGTCGTACACTTTGCAAATCACTGAAAATTACATTTAAGTCATTGTCTTATGAAGGGTTGTTTAGTTATGCTAACACTGTCTCCAGACCTACAGGTGAGATGCTGCCTGCTGCAGGAGACCTAAGGCTCTAGCTATCTCAATGTATCCCAGAAATCCCACCATACAGAGGGAAAACAGCTTCAGCACTCCTGTGACTGGCATGGCATGTGCTTCCCACTGCAGCAGGCCAGGGCTGTTAACCAGTGCAAAACAGTTTCTTCTCTTTTTAGAGAACTTTGAACTTGTGCCAAGAGAAGTGTTGTCACTGTAAGGAGGGACTCCAGGGGAAGGGACCTTGGAAATGCTACCAATTTGACTCCTCCAGGGAATGAGAACTGCAATTACGTAAGGCCCAATATCATCCTGTATTTAGTAATTTGTCAATGTCCAAGATCAATTACTTTAGTGGGTGCTTATTGTTATTGCTGAATATTTACCATTTGCTTATCATCACATCTATTACAGGATTATTAACCACTCATTTGCAGAATACAAAAAGTGTCAAAGACTAGACAGGAAAACTTTAAAAACACCTCAGGCACATTTGCAGTTACTGAGAGGCAGCTAAATGAACAATGCTTGCAGAATATTTAGAAAAGGAGGGCAAGGGGCTAGGCACTTCATTCAGCTCAGGAGCTTCTAGACAGAATAAGAACACAGAATCCAGGAAAACTGCCAGCTAGATAGATGTGTGACCTGCCATTTGAATTTAAGTCAAGACAAACAGGCAAATAAGCTGGTTTAATTTATTCCCAGGTGTAAGTACATACACCAAATTGCCATGTGTGTTATCCCCCCCAAGTATTTCATTCTACAACTTTTTGCAATTTTAGCAAAACTACAGCAGAACTACATAGCTGGGCAAATCTTCATTGGTATTTTGAAATGTTTGCAAACTTATATAAACCCAGTAAATTGACAGTAGATAATCCATACCTGCCACAGCCTTATTTACTCAGTTTTTCATCAGTCCCTGAGAATTATTTCTTAAGCCAGAGAACCTGCAATGTAATTATGTATGGTCTGATATCATTGTGTGCCTAAAACCTGAAGTCAACCGTAACATTAGCTTAAGACAATCTCTTTAGTGCCAAATTGAAAGAGCTGAAGGAAAGATGCAGCTGACAAGAGTCATATCCTTTGTTAGGCTGCAAATTAAAGAACAAAGTTCATTTTACTGGGAGATTTTGCCAATACCATTTGCTGGGTCAACAAAGGTTAGCCACTGAATGATTCGTGTTAACTGCTGGGCTACTCACGTCCTCACACTTCATCAGAAATTACATCCTGCTACATTTTCAGCATATGACGGAACTCTTTTTACTGTAGAGCTTACTCTGCTACTCTAACCCAAATGCAACAATAAATTCAACTGAAATACATGGAATGTTTTAAAAGGAGCAAACCTATAACTCCAAATATTTTTTTTGGAGAGAGGGCTAAAGAATATGTGATTCCATCAGTAGTGCAATGCAAGAACAGGAAGGTCACTCACTTACCAATAACTCTATATACTGAGATGAAGACCAGAGTCAACAGAATAAAAGCCGTATTCCAAGTCCAGATTTTTGGATCCACAGCTGAAATACCCAGGAACATGAAGATAATGGTTTCTGCTCCACTGGCTAGCATTTTCATAGTATATTTTACAGTTGTAGAAGACTGTTCAGATATGTTAGCCTTAACATATTTCTGACAGCAAATGCCACAGAAGGTTATCCTAGAAAAAGAAACAATTGTTCAGAAAATATGTGTTGCAACATTTAATATTTTTTCCATCTGTCTGTCACATAGTGACAAAAACCCACTATAAATTCCTAATAAAAGATACGTTCACGAGCACTTGTGGAGTCTACCCTTGGTAAAAAGCATATCTCAAACATACATGCTGATGTGACCTCAAGTGGCCTGAAGACAGCATTTCATTAGAACATAACAGAATGTAGTTCTCTTCAGATTACCATACTGCTTTCAATGCGAATTTTTTAACCTTGTTTACATTAGACATAATCTTAAACTAATGATCTGTTTGCAGAAAGATTTTCAGAACTTGAATACACTTACTATATCATCTACAAGCAAAACTGAGAAGAAAGGTATGCTGAGAATCAATGGAGACTAAGAGAAGAAAGGCCACAGAAGTACTCAAGCCAAAACAGGCAATATTTAGGCAAACCTTAATGTCCAGCCAAGACAGAGAGAGAGGACAGAGAATAGTGACATTTACACAGTGCCTTAGAAAAATATTGCTTTAGTTTCAAGTTATAGGGAAATATGTCAGCTCAAATGGACTACTGTTAAGTTTGAAGTGCTATTAATAACAGAGAAGAAAGAGTCATGTCTGTATTTTGCAAAGGAGTTCTCATGTTGCTCAGCATATACTGGAAAACTTGCATTCCTTTTCAAGGCTGAATGACAGGATTGGCAAACTATAATCCAGTGCAGTGTGAACATAGTATTATCCAGCATAAACTTAATGAGTGTCATATTCTATAGTTGTTCCATATAATTTAGGTTTTCCTTTCAATGTTTTTACAAACCATATTCCCTTCTCAGTTATAAAAAGAGACTTACGCTAAGATGGCAGAAAGAGAAAGCATCTCTGCTGTGAGGTAGGACAGGTAGGAGATGATAAACACAAATCCAGGTTCAATGATCCTCACGTGCTTGGTGAAACGACTGACCAATGAGAGCAGGAATGCAAAGAAAATGCCAACCAGTGTCCCACCGAGGCTCACCACAAAGAATGACACTGAAAAACAAAACACCTAACACAACTTAAACCATAGAAATATAATAGTTTGAACTGTTTCTCTTCCAGAGAGAGGACAGCAAATGACCAGTAAATCACAGAAAAAATTGGAGAACATGTCAAATTTATTTCTAGGCTCAAGGCTTTTGAGCACTTGGGTATGTGGATGTAGCATTCTGTAGAAAAACAAGACTACTTCTGTTGAGCCTCACCACTTTACTTTTATTCAAACCCACTACATTTCTTTGTACTATTTTTTCCCATGCTCTGTAAACAAATGTTTTTTTAAAAAGCATATTATAGAATATGACAACATCACTATTGAAACATTTATTCATAAGATAATTTAGTTTCATGCAATGCTTGGAATGGGAAATAGTGCCTAAATTTTCAGGCAAAATTTCTTGATAGTTACTAGCAAACATTACTTGATGGTGATCAGTGAAAAGGAGTGGCAATACTTGTATGCAGTCTTGACTTTCCTGGAATGCAGGGAGAGCATTGGCTGAAATTAAGGAAATGCTATTTTTATTAAATAAAAAGATACAATTTTTTTTTTCTTCACAAATAAAAGATATGTAGCTGTCAGGTTTGGTGTTCTCAACAAATGAACTCCACATCCATTGAGTCTCCTCAAAAGAAAAGAGATCTGATTGTGTTTCCCAAATATTCAGAAATATTTATTTATTTATTTTCTTAAGACATTTGCCTATGTCATACAAATGTGTGAACATGAGTAATAATGGAAAGAGCTGAAAAATATTGCCAGTAGCATAATAAAAATATTTTGTTTAAAATACTGCATATATGCACCAATTGTGTGATACAGAATTCACTTCTACGCACCTATGCCTTTGAGACATTCAATCCCCGTCACATTCGTTGCACCTATAGCAACAAAAGAGTCAAACACATTGTACAGCACCTGGAAAGAAAAGCAGACTAATTTAATAATTGCTCCTGAATTGAGCCTATTAAAATAAACTCCTTAGGGGCCTCAACATTATGAAGTCTGAAATTATGTTTGACTGAGGGAAATTCTGTCTGGAGGATGAATTTTATATTTTCTCAAAATAAAAGAAATGCACTGGGCCAAGAAGAAACAAAAATTAAAACAAACAAACAAACAAAACAAAACAACACTTACAGCAATACATTTCTCTCTTCAATATGCCCCCTATGTATAAGAAGCATTGTTACATATAGATGTGTTTTCTAAAGCATTTCTTGCTGTAAAATCCAAATATTTGAAATATTAATTTATTCACATGCATAAGATAAATAAGGTACTTAATAAGATGCTAATAATAAGATACTGAATTGAAATATGTTGAATATATATAAGTTGAACATAAGAGAGAATATAATAATTGAGCTAAAACTTTTTAAATAATTGACTAACAGTGATTGAGCTGAAAGTAATGAATTTACCTTATCTATACCAGTGCCTAAGGAGGTTTGTATGAGCATAATTTTTGAGACAAGCCAATTTAATCTGCTCTTAATTCCTCCAGTGGTGAATGAGGACTTTACTGTGCCCTTCTCAGTTTTCCTTGCTGCAGTTAAACTTGATAATTCTTATAGTATTCATGCAGTCATGGTATATGGGTTACTTTTTTCTGTAAGAATAGTCTTTTACATATTTATTTCCAAAGAATGCTATACCATCCACTTTCTTCTGTCTTCCAGCCTTTCCATTTTCAAGGCAGTAACTCCACTGTTTCAAATTTCCTCACAGGCCATGCTTTCTAGCTCTGGATTATACCTGCTCTTATGTTTTTTCATCAATGAACAATCAAACTTTCTTTTATTTGTAGACTGTTTGTATTCATTTCATAGTGACAAAATCTCCTTTCCTTCTGAAAGCCAGTGATGTTGATACTTGAGTTCATCAGAGGTTTATTTTAATTCTGGCAGTACCCCAGAAGTACTAATGACACCAATATCCAAGAGCAATTAGGTTTCTCTGGAAGCCATACTGTCATTTTCAAACTCATGTGAACAGTTAGGCAGCTGCCAATGACCTTGGAGCACTTTGCTTCCTTGGCTGCAAAAAGTTAAGTCACTGGCAGGAGCAGGAATAGGAAATGATCCAAAAGTGAACTGAAGTTGCACAGCAATTTGTTTGCATAGCATCTTTCTGCCTTAGGACTTCCTGGACCACTAGCACTGCACTACAAAGTCATTGACCATTTCATTCAGGGGAAAAAAATTGTGTGAAAAGAAAAGATGTTTCAATCAAAATAAAAATATCAGTAGAAATCTGGGATTCTCTTACATCTATTACAGACTTTCTAAATTAAAAAAATGTTTGCAAAAAAAAAAAAAAATCAGAAACTTTATAAAATGTCACACAATTTTTTTCCAAACTGACTCTTTGTTATATATCTGAGAAACATCTGATCAAAGTAAAACTAAGGGAGTGGGCACTTGGAAGAGTATTCTTTCTCTCTCTCTCTCTCTCTCTCTCTCTCTCTCACACACTGGCTAAGGTATGCCTATAAATTATGAGCATAACACAAATATGGAGAAAAATGTATGTGCATTAAAAATAATGGCAAAGGAAGGCTTAAAATCCCTGGAACTGATTTCACTAAGTCATGAAAGCCTTACTTAAACAACAAAGGCAAATAAAACATGCACCCTTGAAACCTGATTTGAAGTGTCCAACTCAGGACTATCTGTTTTATGTCACTTACCAGCTCCAAAAAGCTTTCAAGCTCAAACATCTAATGTTTGTAAGCAAGAGAGAAAACACCATGAGCTGCAGTACAGTAGCCCATGAGTAGATACATACAGAGAGTACAGTGTTTCTATAAAGGGAAAAATGCACTTCAGAAGAAATCCCCTTGAGTTAGGTTGACTTTGGGATATATAATTTACTTACCACAGTTACAGCATCATTCAGAAGAGATTCTCCAAAAACAATGATGAATAGAACTTCATTGACGTGGACTTCTTCAAACACTGCCAGAACAGCTACAGGATCCACAGCGGCAATTAAGCTGCCAAAGAGGAGGAAGTCCAGCAGCCCAGAGTGCAGTTCACCTTCAAAAACAAAGCAAGGAAATTATAAGCAGAATAATCTCTATATTATCAATAGCAATGACAGACTGAGATATTACAGATAATGCCAAATACTGGAAAATAGAGATGCCAAGGTATCAACCAGAACGCGTGCTACAGTGACTACTTAAAAAGTTCTGCACTGAGTCATGTTGTATCCTACAAGTTTTGTTGGATTCAGCATTGGCCCATGTGGATCAAAGTTACTTCTGGGAGCAGGACCAGTACTGCCTTGTTCTTGTGACAAGACAGCTCCAGATCTAAACTAGCTTTCTATTTGTGTGTGGTATGGTTTGTCTAACTTGACCAAATCATCCCAGGATAACTGAGAACTCACAAGATGTTAAGAGGACCATACCAGCACTTCTGAAGTAAATGTTCCAAAATATTTCATGTCACAGGTCAAATCTGACTTTTGGTCACTAAGAACAGCTACAGTGGTGTTTAACTGCACTCAGTACAACTGAACACCAATTGTGGCCTCCTTGATCACTGATAGGTGTGGTTAAGCTACTTGTTCCCAAATTAGGATTCATGAGGCTGTTAAATTGTCTGCAAGTGGACCATAAAAATAGATGACGGACCAAAATGTACCTCAACATGTTTGTGTTGTAGCCCCTAAGGAATTTTGGCAATGATTTCAAAAGTTTTGAAGCTACAAAACTCTGGTGACAGTGTAACCCAGTATTTTTTTTAACTTAACATTTAGTTATTGCAGTTATTTTGTTCAGTTATGCAAACAGACTATGACAAGCATTCACTGTAATTTTAAAAGTAGCAGAAAAAGAAAAGTAGCATAAACATAAAAAATGCTTTTGTCAGCTTCCTAAATATCTAGCAAAATCTACCCTCTTCATGAAATCAAAAGTGGAAACCTAGTCATTTTTTTCTAGGGAAAAGATTTCTGAGCAGCAAAATTCCCTTTGTGCTCATTAATGGATGGGGGAAGCAAGGTTCATTAAGAAGTGATGTTGCCAAAAATTATATGAGGAAGAGCAAAGAAGGAACAGGTTGAGAATTGATTCATTAAAACACAATGCAGGGGTCCATGCTCAAAATTATCAGGCGTGATTTCTACAGGTAAAGAAGAAAGTCATCTAATTAAATGGTTTTGAAGCATGAGTCAGACAATGCCAGTCAGTAGCCATAGCCACAGGATCAGTGGCTGTAAGGTACTTCCAGAACAACATCTAGAAAGAGCTCTGAAAGGTAATTTTTCAAATTCAAAATGGTTGTGCTTAGAATGCAATTGAAACAGAAACCAGATTCCAAATAGTTTTGATACAAAATGGCATAGGCCCATTTACTCAAGAAAATATATATGGGCAGTCAGACGCAGGAGTAAACAACACCCTGTTATATGTGACAATGCCCAATATTCTGGTGGAGCTGCAGATGTATATATTCTCTTAGCTACTATCTGCCAATCAGAGTATCTACAAGGTTTCCATACAGTTTGTAGAGATCTTGGTATGGCCCTGAAAACAGAAATTCATAGCTTGCACAGATGTATAACTACTTTATTTTTTCAAGAAGATAAATAGTCTTGTTCACACTTGGACCTATGGGGCTGCGAACAAGGACTGAGCCTATCAGTTTTAGCATGCGAGTGGGGTTGAGGCAGTGACCTTAAGTCTGTGCCAAAAATTCTGAGAACAGCCTTGAACCTAAATCTAAGCAATGGTTCCACCAAATGTTGTCCTTTTCAGGCAGGCCTAAGGAAGGAACAAGCCCAGTGACAATAACTATCAGATATCAGGGTATAATAGAACATAAGGTTTGAAAATAAATTGTCTCACTGAGATTGCTTATCTTTTTTATGTGTTACCAATTATAATCATTGGTACATTCTTGTAAGACTTGCAAATCTAGTAAGCAAATATTTATGGGGAGATGAGGACACATCTATAATTCCCATGAAACACTGTCAAGAGGCCTGTAGTTTCTAAATCAGACTTTCATTTAGAGTAATAATAGCAGTTATTTTCAATTGGTATATGAACCATGGCTTCCTCCAGCTCATCAGTGACGCCTGACCAAGATATGTTCACTGGGCCCAGTTTAAGACTTTTAGACACAGTCAACATGTTGCAGCTAGATTGACCTAGATTGTACAGGAAAAACTGTTCTAAGCACTAGTCACAACCACAACACTGCAAGTGTTAGTTCTCCAGTGGACAGTGAACAGTTCACTGCAATCAGCAATTACATAATTCTTCCTGTTCTGTGGAAGCAGACTGAGAAGTATTTCTTCATCATTACCACCTTCTCCATTTTCCTTCTGCAAATAATTATATCTCAAGGGTATTGAATGCCAACAAAGAGCTGCTTTTATGTTTATTTATGTAGGAAATCTATGCAATCCAGTTTGGAATATGCATTCTTATATTGATGGACAGTACTACAAGCTCACTGAATGGCAATCTAGAAGTCATTTGGTTTTAGTTCATCTTAGTCTGGGGTAGTTTTACATTTCTACATTTTAATATTACTTTTGTCATTATGCACTTCAATTGTAGAACAAATGGGATAGAAATAAATATAAGCCACGGAGCTTCAACCAGAAGGTATTATGAACTTTTCTAGAAACTGAGCAGCTCAGCATTCGTCTATCTTCAGTAAGTAACAAGAGCAAGGTCTTTCACAGTACGGAAGCTAGATCTTGTTGACCTCTTCGGAAGTCAACACAATAGATTTAGTGGATTAGTGAGTCTGTGTCATGTAGATATTTTAGACTTCCACTCAGCTTTGCTGGAGAATGACATAGTTTGAATCAGGGACAGCCTTGTCTGGCCTTTTTCACAGCTGGAATTAGAACTCTAGTAGGTCTTCATGGCAAAGACAGGTCCCCACAGTACACAAATAACGTTCTTTCTAAACATTAAAGTTTGACAGACATGTCATTTTATTTTTTGCCTTTATTAACATCCCTGTATTTCTCTTGTAGAGCTTTAGCTGTGACCTGTGGTAGGGGCTGACAGTCCTGTGCAGCTGTAAATTCAGAGTTCTAGTATGCATTGTCACTAAAAGATTCACATACTGATGAAACAGAACATATAACCATCAAACCCAGCTTTTGCAGTTAATCATGAGTTGTTTACAGATTGGGAGGAGAAGAATAATTTAAATGATTTTTTTTTTCCTAAATTTTTTTTTTTTTTGAAAACAGTCAACTTTTCTATTTCACATGTTGTAAGGAAATCAATCCTTTCCCTTTAATGACTTATAGGAACGTATTTTTAAAGTAATTATCATACATTATATTTCCGAGAACAGGTTTTTTAAGAAAATATTTTTGGTCATATTTTTAAATAGTTCCAAGCATGGAGCTATTTAAAAATATGGATATTTACATAAAGATATTTACATAAAGAAATCCTTTTCCAGTCTGTAGTAGAAATATCCCTGTTATATATTTTCTTTCTGAACACCTAATTTTAATCATAAATGTGATATTGTGGATTAAATATATTGCTTAAAGCGCAGTAAACCTCTTATCTACCTAAAAGTGTCAAAGATTTTTGCATCTGAGCTGTCACCTTTGTATCTTCTTAAGAAACTATTACTATTTCTAAAATAAGAGTTATAATAAGGTAAATATCTAAAATGTATCCATCATAGCCATCTATATTACAAACATATGAAATTACATAACAGGAGTCTTAAATGAAAGTAGAGATTAAGTACTGCTGTTCTGTGCCTCTTCTAGCAGCCCTGTGCCCTTACATCACAGTAAAATTAAGACAAAGTGTGTCTTGGAATCATAGAATGGTTTGTGCTGGAAGAGATTTCTTACACCCTCCACTTCCACTACCTGGGACACCTTTCACTAGACCAGGTGCTCAGAGCCCTATCCAACCTGGCCTTGAACACTACCAGGAATGGGCCATCCACAGCTCCTCAGGGGAAAGCACAAGCAATAGGAAACCCTCACTTTTTGGATTTGTGGTCTAGGAAATTGTGCGTCAGCCACCCTTTCAAGCCCCCTTGGATTGCTCCCATTAAAATGGCTTCCTTTTATTCTTTTTTTTTTTTTTCAGTAAGACATCTGCTACTTCATTCTGTAAAACTTTTAGATCTTCAGTTACAATTTCCAGACTCAGAAAATGCAAAAGAGATGTGTAGATGGGTCATGCATATATACACACTCAGTAGCCACTTAATATTGGATAGCACTTACTATAAATAACACTTAATTGCATTAATAACATTAAATGCAGTAATAACATTTATTATTAAATAACAGTAAAAATAACACATAATACTAAAGATGACTTCAGGAAGACACTTTCATTTCAGAGTAACTTTTAAGGTTTCTATCAGAGCAGAAAGAAACAAGCCCTTTAGTGTGTATTTTTGTCCAGATGTCCATTAGAAAAAGAATCCTGAGCTTTATCCTGAGAGTATGCGTACACATTTAGAGCAGGACAATATAAAAGACATGGATTCAAGTAGCTTTTATACTTTCCTTAGGGAAGATTTTTCCCTAAGGAAAAGGTCATTCTTAAATTTGATAAAGATATTACAAACTGCTCCCATTAAAATTGAATTTTTCTGCTGGAAAGAGTTGTTACATTGTGACTTATCATCCATCCAACAGTATATACAGTGGCATTCATAATTGTGTCTTTACAGATCACACTTACCCATTATTCCTGTCAGATAGACACCGTAGAGAGATAAACCAGTTGTGGCAGCATTCCAGACTGTCCCAATGACAGCATACAAAAGGATGGAGCCAAGATTTCCAAAGAACAATCTGTTTGGCATAAAATATCCAGCATCCAAAACAATGGGGGGCAGCAAATAGAAGAAAAATACAGTTGGTGTCAGGGAGAAGGAGGCAAGGTGATCTGCTGCCCATACAATGCCACCGAGGAAAAGACCAAGGACAATCAGCAGAGCACTTTCTGGAACCACCCGAGTGACTTTGTGGGACAAGTGGAAAACTGCAAGGAAACACAAAAACAGTGCGTCAGAAATGAAATGGAGAAACAATTTGAGCAACAACTGTTGTTAGCTGGCAATTTTGACTCCACACAAACTTTTTGCTTTCATTGTGATTAAAAGTGTGCATGGAATGTTTGGGAAACATACACTTATAGAATAAAAAAAAAGGAGTTGATCTTCAGATTTTTTCCAGCATATTTTAACTTATATGAAGCCAATATTCCATGACATTTATATCCTTCATTGGATTATCTTCTCTTAACAATATCTGTCTAGGGAAAGATGATGTTTTGTGCAAAGCAAAGTGCAAGGCTGAAAAGCAATGGAGAAGTCCTGGAAATGTATGACATTATGGTTTATTTCTGTAACTAAAAATAGACATCCAGCCTCCTAATTATTGTCTTTAAAAATTATCAGTTTATCAACAGGCATATTGGATGATATGACAAGGATGATATGACAAGGATGCTGCAAGAAGAACTAGTTTCAAGACAACTCTTTTAAAATGTACAAATATTCTGATAATGTAGCCTGCAGCAGGAAAAAAATGAAGCTTATATCATGGGAGATCCCTTTTGAGCCTTTTCTTCAAGACATCCCTAATAAGAATTTCTCATAATTCAGAGGTTTTCTGAAAGAATTGAGGTTTAGTGGTTCCTTCAAATATGTATTTGTGGGTGAATGGTTCTGCAGTAGGCTGCTTTCTTTCGTATAAGGTGTCACAAAATTTGTATGTTACAATAGTCTGTAAAATCTGTTAATAAAGACAAAGAGTATATGGTATCTATCACAGCAAAACATGTAACAGTATGGTGTGTTCAAGCTATTAAACTAGCCAATGATTAGAAGGAGAGAAAAATTACTGAGTTCCATGAGCAAATCTAAAGAGAGAGAGATGGCACAACCAGACAGAAAAAACAGACTGTTCAAGGTGACAGAAACACAACTAAGACTGCAAATACATGTGGCAACATATATTTATAGTGCATTTGATAGGTATCAGATAAAAGAAAATAAAAAAGCAGAGAGAAGAACAGAGAGAAGTCAAGTCTACAAAGAAAAATGGAACATAAAATAGGAGGAAAAGGCAGAAATGTTTGATAATAAGTAAGGATGGGTGGTTTAACTGACTGTCTTGGGATTTCTGTAAGCTTGTCCTTCAGTTTATCTTAAGTAATGATGTGTCCCAGATGGCCTGAACTCTGGTACTTTGTGAAACTGACCCAATAAATATGTTTACTTACATAACCTTGTGTTGAAAATGCAAGTTACACTTCAGGAAGAAAATTTTAGTAAAAGCCACCAAGTTTCTCCTGGTTTGAACATCAGCTGTGTTGAAGCTCTTACAACGCTAACGCAATTTAGCTAAGAACTAGCTTGGACAAAAATCCACCATTGTGAATTCCAGACACTTAAGCCATAGTAGAAGAATATTTCCAATGACCATGCAGAGATCTTAGACCAGGTTACTTTACTGAAAGACCATTGTTTTTCTTCGTATCCAAGTATTTGTCCTTGTCAAACATTTACTAGTTACCCTTTAGAGTTTAGAGTGTTTTAAGGGCCCCACTCCTGAACTGACAGCTTTTGCCTTGGCTGCATCTACACAGGCACCATCCATCATTACAGCAGCCCCACAAAAATGTGCTTCCTTAAGCCATAGAACCTTCATGGTCTCATCAGAACAGAAAACATAAAAGTGACCACAGCTTCCCTATGCCAATAATGAGCATGAATGTAGATGTTCCTGAGTGTTTGCAGACAAGACTTGTAGACATGTTGGAACACAGCTAAAAAAGTGGGATGGGATTAATACAAAAGAAATCAGACATGAAAACAAACTGCATTCAGTGAAGCTGATTAAACCATGCCAGCTTTCTATGTCATCAGTGTCATGTAATGAAGAGATGGATGACACTTCACAGAAAGAAACACTCTAGTTTTTCTGTTAAGTTTCCTCTCTTTGTTATAAAATCCCTTGGGCTTGAATTTAAAAAGAAGAAGAGAGAGGAAATTAAATGAAGAAAAATAAACTAGTTACTATTCTATGTGTACACATTGTGGCATTTACCTTCTCAAAAGTCCTTCCTACTAGTCATTCTTGATTCCTTGAATTTCCAGTCAGTGAATTATCAACTAATTTATCACCTCACAGAAAGGGGATTATCTCCTTATCCCTGAAAATGAATGTTGCTGAGCTAGTCTTACTAACCAAAGTCTGTTTTTCCTACTCTTACGTTAGCAGATAAGCCATGACTACAAGAAGTTAAAGTTAGAAATTTTAAATGAACCTGTGAAAACTTTGCAAAACTAGGCATTTGGAAAACAATGTCCAGCTAAAATTTCATATTTTGTCGAATTCTCCACTTTACAACCAAAATCAGTTTTGAATGCTGGGAAGCCAATCTGATTTTGGTTATAACATTGTCTCCTCCTAAAAGTTGCATTTTCCCAGTGAATCAGCTCTGTCTTATCTCTCTCAGTCCCCTTTAACTCCAACCCACTGATTAATTGTGCCAGATTTTAATACTATCAGCAATAAATACTTCTACTCTGTTAGTTTAAGGATGCAGGCCATGGACAGGAAAGTTATTGCATGAATGGGGTCTAGGGAAGCCTCTTTTCATTTTTGTATATGGCCCAAACAAAGTCTGAAAACAAGACTGTATTTAAGATAACTGCTTAGCAAACTCTTCAGGTAGATACCATGCAATATGATTAACAGAAATAAGTCTATAAGCATAGAAATAAATAAAAGGAAAATACCACAACTGATGAAATACAATAAAATATTTTGGACTGAGATGCAATTGGAACTTAGATTAATGTTTGAGCTCATATTTGCACCTACACAGATTTTATTTTTTTTTCTATGTGTATAAATTATATTTAATCAATATTGTACATTATGAGTAGTTATTACGTTTGTGGAATTTGATAGAGATAGGTTAATTCCAAATTCATTCCTTAATGTTTATTTTTGTAATTCATTATTCCGAAGCAATGTCTCTGATATATTCTGAGACTATTACAAACTCACACAATGACAGCACTTCCATTTCATAAAGTTTGCCTTTACTTGTCTAAAAGAGATCCAAAAACTGTGTCCCCATGACAAAGTAGAACTGGAAGCTTTAATTACACCTAAATGTCTAGCATGACTAGGTCTTTCACCTGATTGAGGAGCAAAATACAATCCAGCAAGGTTTGTAGACTCCTAAAGGACAAAGCGTTTAGTTTGATTCTGATGTGAAAGAAATTTCAACTATCAGGAAGGAAGATAGCATGCAGTGCTGATCAGATAAATTACTCTGTTACAGACACAGAGATGAAATTGTCTGTCACTGCTGTTAATATATTTTAATGAGGAGAGGGAACGGATAAAGGAAGAACACCTGTAGACAGTTCATGGCATAAAAGAAATAACCATGCACAGGGCAATTTTGTGATCCATAAATTTTAACATTTAACATTTTAACATTTAGCGTTTGGAATTAATCTACCTAAGTCTAGATACAGTATTAAAGAAAAAGTTGAACATCTGCCTCCCTTCCAGTACATGCTATACCTGGTTTGAAAGTGGGTTGGACTGGGTACTGGGTAAACTGGGTTTATTTTCAAGCTGAGCATCACCAAATTAGAAGCTTTCTACAAAATTAAGAAACAGTTGCACAGTATAAACATCCTGTGATTTTTTTTTGAGATGCTTCCTTTGAGATCCAGGAAAAGGGCCTGTGGCATGTAAGCAATCTGATGAGAAAGACAAAACAAATTAGCAATCTGTGATGTGATGGCTGGAACCACTTTCTTTTGACACAAAGAATGAAACATACTTTAAGAAGTAAATTGGGATTTATGGCCTTTTATAAATGCAGTAACTTAGATTAAATCCTTCAGTGGAATTCACAGCATTCAGTGAATTATCTCTTGCTTTCTAAGGCCATCTGTGACTGGTTTGGAAGATGTGATTCAACAGACTAAGCTTTTTCTCACTTACTTGAAGAAATGAAGTCAGGAAGACTGGTTAAAAGAAAAAAAAAATTAATTTAAACATAATAAAGAAGAGATACTGTACAATTCATCTTCAAGTTGTAATGTTTGTAGACACCTAAAAAATTTTCTGAAGTAGGGTTTTCACTTTTTTTTTTTAATTATCTCTAACAAAACCTATTTTTAATCAATACTGATTTTTTCTTATCAAAAGAAATATTTTCATTTAGTTAGAGCTAGATGTTTTTTGCATTATTTTCAGCCAAATTTAACAATTCAAGATAGATTTACAACCTTTTGAAAATACACCACTGCAAAAACAAAAATCTGAAAGTACCTATTTAAAATACTGCTAAATTCCAGGATTTATGCAGTCATTTCAACACTATTTCAAATGAATAATTACATTTCTATTGACTTTGATAGTGTAAAATCAAGTCTCTGAAAACAATGAAATTATTTTTGCAGCTAGTATCACTGTTCCAGTGAATGACAAAACCTACCAGACATGCACAGTACACAATGTGTCATCCAGAGAAATCAAGAACTGACCTATAATAATGATGATAATTCTCTGATTATTTTTTTCCATGTATCTTTGGATAAAATCCAGGAACACTTAAAATAATTTAGAAAATTACAATATCAGCTTATCATTTCCATAGTTTCTGTGAAAGCATAGGTATGAATCTACAAACATTTCTAAGCTCCTCCTATCAGAGTTAGTGGCAGGCATGAGGTCTCCCATATGCATTTTTACTAGTGGTTCAAATATGCACTGACACTCCCTTATTAGTTTTCCAGTTTGTATTTTTTATATTTTGTTTTCCAGTTCTGACTTTTTATTTTCACTTCTGAAGTTGAAGTTAACATACTTCATCAAGCCATGGGTGCTTCTAATTGGAGCTCCAAGCTTGATTCTCTGCAGCTGGTGAAAACCCTTGCCATTGACCAAAGTGAGAGCAAAACACAGCAAGCTCCTTTGTGCTTCTTTTCTTTTCAGGGATGC